AAGAGTTAGGTATTTATTGTAGTATTCACCATCTGGGCTTGTTTGTACCCATCCTCCTTAGGAAGGCTTTCCAGGTATTTGAAAATACTTGGGTGTTATGATCTAAGCTACATTTGCATTGGGGCTACCCCAAGCCCAGTAACACTGTAGTTCTTACAGACTTGTAGGGGTACCACACCTTGGTGGTCTTAGATAACATGCAGAATAATTATTTGGATTACAAGGCAAAGACTCTTGTTCTCTTTGCTTACTTTCTCCCAAACAAACGGAGTCTCTGTATTGAGTTGCCTGGAACTGAAGGTGGGGTGACACAAGCACTCCTTTGGTCACCACTACCGGGACTGTGCTGGTTCAGACCTGAAGCCAGCATGGCACCCTGTAACCACTTCCTATTACCTATGTTCACTCAAGGCCCTGGGGCTCTACAATCAGCAGATGATGAAGCCAGCCAGGTCTGTGTCCTTCCCTTGAGGGATGTGAGTTTCCTAGGTCCTGGGCAGGTCCAGAGATGCTCTCCCAGAGCCAGGGACTAGAGTTAAAAACCTTAGAAATCTGCATGGTGTTCTATTCTACTGTGGCTGTGCTGGCACTCAAGCCACATGACACAGTCCTTCCCACTCTTCCCTCCCCTTTCTATGTGCAGAGGAGCTTCACTCCATGGCCACCACCACTACAGGCCTATAGGGAATATTCCCAGGCTACCACTGATGCTCAATTAAGGCCTAAGGACTCTTCCTTCAGCTTGTGGTGAATACCACCAGGCCTGGAACTCATCCCTCAGGGTACTGGCTCCCCTCTGGCCCAGGGAAGGTCCAGAAACGCTATCCAAGAGCTAAGACATGGAGTGAGGGACTCCAAGATCTCCCTTGGTCCTCTACACCACTGTGGCTGAGCTGTTACCTGGTTTTTGGTTCTTATGAAGGTGATTCCTTTGTGTAGACAGTTGTAAAACTTGGTCTTCCTCAAAGGATAAATGCTTGAGGGGAAGGATACCACATTTTCCATGATGTGATTATTCTGAATTGCATGCCTATATCAAAATATTTCATGTACCCCATAAATATATACATCTACTGTGTACCCACAAGAATTAAAAATTTAAATTTTTTTAAAACCTGGTGTTCCTGGGGAGGGCCATGACCAGTGGGGTCCTTATTCAGCCATCTTGTACTGTCACTCCTCCATCAATATCAATTTAACAAGGATTTATTAGCTATGTTATTAACCTTTTTAAAATTCATCAGGCCAAATTAGTACTATTTGCAGAGTTTGTATCAACCATTTCATTCTAGTCATTGAAAAAAATATATTAATGCTCAAATATACTTCACCTGACTGCAATGTTTTCTTACCTAAGCTTCTATTGGATGAAAAAACTGACACCAGTGCTTATTCCCTAGGAAATCACTCCCTAGTCAATAGCTTCCTTCTGAACCCATATAAGAACTTCCCAGGCCATGGGCAATGAAAAAAAAATGAATTCTTTTGCTGCAGAGTTTTCTTCACTAAGAGGGAGCTGATGAAGCTGTTGGTTGCCAGCTACTAGATGGCCCCATTTTAGTTACAGGAAATGCTGCCAAGTTGGACTGTATTTCTCAAAAAAAAAAAAAAAAAAAAAAGGCTGTTGTCCCCATCCCTTCCCTGACCACCCTGGAAATGTTCTTCTGTGAGAATACTTTCTTGGTCCTGGCAGGTCAGGCAGGTGCTGGTTCTTCTCTGTTTTCTTCTATCCATAGCTAATCCTTGTCTGATACTTTGGCCCCAAGATCACGAGAGCCTGAGTCCAATATTGGGCATGAACTAGACTCCTTCTCTGTCCCCTACCCAACCAACCTCCGCACCAAATCTCCGAGAAAAACCCTGAGAGCTTCACAGTACACTCTGGATGCTGCCACTATTCCCACCACTGTTCCTTTACTTAAATTACCCAAAGAATATGGGGGCTACAAGATCAAAGAGCCATCTGGTTGGCTTCTCACAACAAAGTACACAAGACTAAGAGTGAAATATTGTTTTCTTTCTGTTTAATTGCAGTACCATTATTCAAATAATATTGTCCTTTATTTGTTTCTCCTACCAAAATAACATACTCTAACTATTCGTAGTTTAAATCAATTTAATGAGCTGGCCTAGGAACCCAACTCACATTTGTATTTCTCCTGTGGGTATAAGAGTATTCAACAATTGCTTATACAAATCAGCTGTGATCAAGGCATTGTCCTCAGTAAACCTAACTATCCTAATTTTGCAAATCACTTTATAAACTTTTGGAACCTAACCCACTATTAGGAGAAGGACTTCCTGTACTGAATGCTATAAACAAATGAAGCCGGAAAAGTTTAACAGATTTCAGAATGAAGATAATGTTACATATGGGCAAACATTAACAGATGAAAACATAATTAGTATTAGGCCAATTCTCCTTTAAGCAAATTCTCCTTTAAGCATTTTAAATATAATATGTACAGCTATTAGTGCTAAAATAAAACACTTGTCAATTATTCATAAGTGTTTCCAATCCTAAAAAAAAAATCCACAATAAACAGATGCTACACACTGAGATTCAGAGACAGGTTCTCGACCTCATTCAATCTCATTTTTCTAAGAGTGTCTACTAAAGATTACTCATCACATATATGTATCTGCCACTATAATTAATAGATATCTTATTCTTCCCATTTTAGGTTTGGCAATAGAAATTTCATTACCAGATAAGCCCACTTTGATTCTGATACAACCAAGGTAATTACTAAATCCATAATAAGGTGGTTATTTGGGGTCAGGATGATGATGAATCCTAAGCTTGTGCTTGCTGAGAAGTTAATAATCTCTGCAAGGAGGGCTAACCTAAAGCTCAGAGAAACACATTAAAATCCTTCTGCATTTGTTATATTTTGGAGGTTTTGGTTGTTTTTTTTTTTTTTTTCTTAATCAGACATTTTTGTAATCCTAAACTACAGCAATACTGTCTGATATCCCACAATTCTCCATCATAGTAATAGTAATAGTAGGAGCAGTTTTTTAAAAAGAAATAGCACTGACATAACTGACACAAATACTCTATGCTTTCCTTTCCTCTCCGTGGGTTCTGCTGCTTTCGCCTTCTAGGAGACATTCGTCTGATCTGGAAAGCATATACAGATGCCTGTCAAAAGGGGCCAGGTTTGTCACATATAATTCCAGAAACTTAAATGATAGGCTTTGTAAATTAATTTACTCTTCATTCAGATGACATAACATAATATCTTCCTGAGATACCATATAACCTTAAACTATAAAGATATATATTTGAGTCTATTTAAAAATGTCTATAATATTAATTTTTAAAATTAAATGTAAAGAGATATATAGGTACATAATTGAAATTCAATCTGAAGCAAAGCCCGAAATTGATTTCTCAAACTAGAGAAAGGGACTCCAAAAGCAGCAAGATTTCTCCTGATAGGTAGGAATCCTATCACTTTTGCTTTATACCTAAGGGATGTTACATAGTTCTGGGCAAATAGTAGATGTTCAATAAAGCAAAATTTAAAAGAACTCATTAGTTATTCCTCTAAAAATACCTTTGTGATGTTTGGTTCTGTTTGGTTTGGGTTTTCCTTTTCTTTTGGATGTGGTAGTTAAGCGGGTTAGAAGGAAAGAAGAGAGAAGATGATAGGTGAATTGGAAAAGACCTCCAGGGCAGAAGTAAGCCAATGATTAAAAAAAAAAAACAAAAACTTGTCAATAATTTAGAAATGAACAATTGCAAGACTGAATTGAAAGGACAGAATTTGTGGGGAACTGCCATACCCAGACCTAATCTTGACAATGTTCTCTCCCATTTGATAGGCACGAGAACAAGGAACAGATAATGACCCTTGTGAAAATCCTAAGCAATATTCCCTGCTGTGGTTCACTTTTCCCTAACCAGAGAAAACATAATTTTCTACTTTGTCTTCTTTAGAAGAGTGAAGTGAGCACATCTTTTGCACTGCTTATCTTTGAAAGCTCCGAACTATTTATGTTGATTTGTATACAATAATTATTTACTTAATTAACTAGCCCCCAGCTAGATTGTTCTTTCAGTCCTTAACAAGCAGAAAAGTATATATTAAGATTCCTCTTCAGAGGAAAAGAAATAGGACCTATTGCTTACACTAGAACATACTGAACAGTTTTCCACAAGGCTTCTGCAATGAGATTTCACCTAGTTCCATAACAAGGAAGGAGTAATTACTTTGATATAAGAGCTCAGAGAAACTCAGACATTGCAGATGTATCTATCACTGAAAATTCAGAAATTTTAAAATCTAGTTTATCCTAGTCCAGGCGCGGTGGCTCACACCTGCAATCCCAGCACTTTGGGAGGCTGAGGCGGGCAGATCACGACGTCAGGAGATCGAGACCATCCTGGCTAACACAGTGAAACCCCATTTCTACTAAAAATACAAAAAAATTAGCCAGGCATGGTGGCAGGAGCCTGTAGTCCCAGCTACTCAGGAGGCTGAGGCAGGAGAATCGCTTCAACCCAAAAGGCAACCCAAAAAAAAAAAAAAAAAAAAAAATTAGTTTGTCCTTAAAGCCAGTATCTTTAGTAAAATTCTTAAAAGTAACAAAAAGAAAAAATATATAGAAAATCTGTACATTCCCCACAGAGATTGAAGTTAACCTTAAAATAGAAGAAGCACAGTACTTAGGGTTACAAATACTTTATTTAATAGGTTAACAGAAATGTATTAAAATTTAATGCTTATGGTACATTACGAACTTTCCCTTGTGATTCAGGAACTAAAAATCCAAAACCAACCAATTAATCAATGAATAAAGAGAATTTTTGAAACTAGTTTAATGAAATATATCAAGCTCTAAATGCAAAAGACCTTCTTTTACTCTGGTCACAGTAATATTCACGTCAAAGGGATAAAGTGAATGTATGCAGCAAGCAAATGAGCTGAAAGACAAAATGTACCATTCTTTTAGGACAGCAGATGAAGAGTCTAGCCCACTAGCCCACTCACCAGATGTCCGACTTTGTGTCATAGCCTTGGTGTTTCAAAGCCTCAGGACTCATATAATGGGGAGTTCCAGTTAACGTTGTGGCCAGGTCACAGGATCCCATTAGGAGTCGAGAAACTCCAAAATCTCCTTGAAAAAATAATTAATTTTTATGAATACTTTAAGCCAATAGAAAATTAGTCCTGGAAATTAACAACTGAATGAGTGCCTAATTTGACCATTTTATTATGCAATGGTTCATAGCATTTTAACAGGAAAGAGAAGTAATATATCTTAAATTACACAACGCTGGTAAATAACTTTAAAAACATAAGTTTTATAGGGGAAGGAAGACTTTGAGCCAGGAAAGTGAATTATGTAAGCTAAAATTCTTTACTTCTGGAATTATGGGAAACTAGACAATTTGATATAAAAAGCTATTTCAAGTCTGAATAATGGCAAACAGAATGATTTTGGAAAAGCTAAATAAGATGATATACAATGTCACCTGACGGGGGAAGAATTTGTTCTTAAATTTACAATAAAGGAGAGTTTTAAAGAAAAGATCTGAGACTATTTAAGAACATGACTATAAAAATTTGAATCTATCAGCTTTTTTATACTTGCCTAACTGGTTGCACGCTTTTATTCCTTCCTTCCCCAAGAACACCCTATATGATGATTAGATGATCCAGTAGCTGGTATGAGGAAAGGTACAGTTCTGAAGAACTAAAGGTTAATAAAGCCATTATATCAACATTTTAATTATAACCGCTTATTGCTTGTGATGAAATACTATAAATGAGAAACCTGTAGTAACTCATCAAACCAGTAAAATGACTCTAATAACTTGTAAAGTGCCTGGCATGACACAGGAAACTCAGAGTATATTTGAAAATCTATCAAATATGTGGTAAATGTGTATACCTCAATTTATATCAATACTCAGAAACAAAATAATTAGGTTTTGCTGGGCCCATCAGGTAAGAAGCCTGGGAAATTTAGTGTTCGTTTCAGCAGCACACATACTTAAACATTTGAGAAATTTAAATAAACCAATGATTACTCTAACACTTCCATGTACCATTTACTTAAATTTGATACGATAATATTTAGAATATACTGTTCTGTGTTTTTGGAATTCATAGTTTTTAAAATCTTACCAATTTTAAGTAGATTATTTTTCAGAAATATATTCTTTGACTTTAAGTCTCGATGAAGTATCCTCCTACAAAAGGCAAAAAAGATACACAACTTCATGCAGAATATAAAATTTTTAAATCCCCATGTAAATAATATATATTGTTGCATGTGATTTATACATAAATATATACTCCCATAGATGTATCTTTCAATGTTTAAAAGCTACAAAGTCACGACACTTTCCAGTTTCCCTGTTTCAGGAAACAAAAGTTTTAAAATAAAGATTTTAAAGGGTGGGGAACATGTGGTTTGGAGAAAGGTGATATGCTTTCAACTATTTCAGTAGGCTATATTTTATTACGTTTTTGTAGCGTAACCTACATAGTACTATATCCAGCAACCATATCCTCAATTGATAGACCAGTTTGTAATCTATTATTACCCAAATGGCCAAGCTTTGTATACTTGTGAAATAATAATGTTGTTGATGACATTTAAGAATAGGTAACATTTATTAAATATGACTACAAGCCAGTACTGTAAATTAAGTCAGTTAAGACCTTTATTTTATGGCATTATGAAGAACTAGAAAACTTGAAAATCTTTACATAAAAAACTAAAATGCTGAATAAAGTATACAAATATCTTCATATATGCACAGTTGAGCTCATATAAAAATGAGAAAAATTTCCTGGGAATTATTCAAAAAGAAAACGAAAGTCATTCTAGGCCATAAAACATTAACAAATTTGAAAGAAGAGAAATCATATCATTTCTGCTCTCACATCAAAATGGAATCAAACTAGAAATTAAAAACAGAAAGAAAACTGGAAAATCACAAAATATGTGAATATAAAACCACATACTTCTAAACAATGAAGAAGAAATCTCAAGAGAAATTTTAAAATATTTTGAACTAAATGAAAATGAAAACACACTTTATCAAAATTTGTGTGATATAGCAAAAGCAGTGCTTAGAGGGAAATGTATAGCATTTAATGTATATATTAGAAAAAAAAGGAAGATCTAAAATCAGTTATCTAAGCTTCCACCATAGAAAACTAGAAAAGAAAAGCAAATTAATTCCAAAGTAAGGAGAAATACTACAGCAGAAATAATAAAACTGAAAACATGAAACCAATAAAGAATATCAATAAAAATAAAAGCTGGTTCTTTGAAAAGATCAATATATCAACTAGCCTCTAGCCAGCCTAACTAAAATAAAAAGATAGAAGACAAAAACTATTAAAATCAAAAATGAAAGAGAGGGTGTCACTACAGATTCTCGTGGACATTAAAAGAATAAAAAAGCAACACTATTAACAATCTATAACCACAAATTTGATAACATAGATTATAGAACCAATTCCTTCAAAGACACAAGCTGCCAAAAATCACACAAGAAGCAAGCAATTGAATAGGCCCATCTTCATTAAATAAATTCAATCAATAATTAATAAGTTTCCAAATAAAAAACACCAGGCCCAGATGGGTTCACTGGCAAATTCTAGCAAATATTTAAGGAAGAAATTACACCAAATATCTATAATCTCTTTCAGAAAATAAAAGCAGAGGAAATACTCCCTAACTCATTTTAAGATGTCAGCATCATCCCAATATTAAAACCAAACAAACACATTACAAGAAGAGAAAACTAAAGACCAGTATCTCTGATGAATGTAGGTGCAAAAATCCTCAATGAAATATTAGCAAATCAAATCCAACATTGTAGGCCAGGTGCGGTGGCTCATTCCTGTTGTCCAAGCACTTTGGGAGGCCGAGGTGGGCGGATCACCTGAGGTCAGGAGTTTGAAACCAGCCTGGCCAACATGGTGAAACTCCATCTCTACTAAAAATACAAAAGCTAGCTGGGTGTGGTGGCAGGCGCCTGTAATCCCAGCTACTTGTGAGGCTGAGGCAGGAGAATCGCTTGAACCTGGGAGACAGAGGCAGCAGTGAGCTGAGATCACCCCACTGCACTCCAGCCTGGATGACAGAGCGAGATGCTGTCTAAAAAATATACATATTATACACCACAACCAAGTGGGATTTATACTAGGTATGCAAAGCTGCTTTAATATTTGAAAGTCAATTAATGTAATCCATCACATCAACAGAATAAAGAAGAAAAATCACATGAAAATATCAATAGATGCAGAAAAAGCAATTGACAAAATCCAATACCCATTCATGACAATAACTCTGACAAACTAGAAATAGGGAATATTTACAACAAACCTACAGCTAACATCACACTTTACAATGAGAACCCTGAAGTTTTTCTCCTGATATCAGGAACAAGGGAAAAATGTCCCCTCTAATCATTTATTTTCAACATTATACTGAAAGTCCTAGCTAATTAAGTAACACACGAAAAAGAAGTATAAAAGGTATAGAGACGGGAAAAGAAAAAACAGACTCTCTCTGTTCACAGATGACATGATCATCTAAGTAGAAAATCCAAAAGAATCAATTATTAAAACCTCCTGAAATTAAGAAGTAATTATAGCAATGTTGCAGAATAGAAGATTGATATACAAAAATCAATTGCTTTCATATATACCAGCAATGAACAAGTAGAATTTGACATTAAAATTAAAATATACTTACCTTAGTACCCCCAAAATGAAACACTTAGGTATAAATCTAATAAAATAGGTACAAGATCTATATGAGGAAAACTACACAACTGTAATGAAAAAAAAAATCAAAGAAGAACTAAATAAATGGAAAAATAATCCATGTTCATGGATGGGTAGACTCAATGTTGTCAAGATATGGATTCTTTCCAAATTGATCAATAGATGCAATGTAACCCCAATCAAAATCCCAGGAAGTTATTTTGTAGACATTGATAAACAGATTCTAAAATTTGTATGGAAAGGCAAAAGACCTATATTAGGTGATTTGAAGGAGAACAACAATGTTGGGGGACTGATACTACCTGATGTCAAGACTTTCTATAAAGTACAGTAATTAAGACAGTATAGTATTGGGGAGAAAAAAAAAGATCAATAAAACAGAATAGGGAGCCCAGAAATAAAACTGCATGAATACAGGCAACTTATCTTTGACAGAGAAGCAAAGGCAATGCAATGGAACACGGTTGAAACAACTGGGCATTCACATACAATAGATGAATCTAGACACAGACCTTACCGCTGTGCAAAAATTAACTCAAAAATGAATCACAGGCCTAACAAATGTAAAACGTAAAACTATAAAACTGCTAGAAAATAATATGTGATAAAATCTAGATGATTTTAAGTTTGGTGATAACTTTTAAAACAGAACACCAAAGGCACAATCCATGAAGTAATTGATAAGTTAGACATTACTAAAATAAAAAATTCCTGCTCCGCAAGAAAACACTGTCAAGAGAATAAAAAGATAAGCCATAGACTGGGAAAAAAGATTTGCAAAAGACATATCTGATCAAAAGACTGTTGGCCGGGCACAGTGGCTCATGCCATGTAATCCAAGCACTTTGGGAGGTTGAGGCGGGCAGGTCACAAGGTCAGGAGATCGAGACCATCCTGGCTAACGTGGTGAAACCCTGTCTCTACTAAAAATACAAAAATAAAATTAGCCAGGCATGGTGGCGGGTGCCTGTAGTCCCAGCTACTTGGGAGGCTGAGGCGGGAGAATGGCATGAACCCGGGAGGTGGAGCTTGCAGTGAGCCAAGGTCGCGACACTGCACTCCAGCCTGGGTGACAGAGACAGACTAAGTCAAAAAAAAAAAAACAAAAAAAAACCAAAAAAAACAAAAAAGACTGTTATCCAAAATATACAAAGAGCTATTAAAACTCAACAATAAGAAAGCAATCTGGTTTTTAAATGGGCCAAAGACCTTAACAGACACCTCACAAAAGATGATATACAAATGGCAAATAAACCTGAAAAGATGTTCCACATCATATGTCATCAGAGAAATGCAAATTAAAACAACAATGAAGTACCACTACACACCTATTAGAATGGCCCAAATCCAGACACTGACAACACCAAATGCTCACAAGGATGTGGAATAACAGAAACTCTCATTCACTGCTAGTGGGAATACAAAGTGGTTCAGCCACTTTGGAAGACAGTTTGGCAGTTTCTTACAAAATGATACAAATGCTTACCACATAATCCAGCAATCATGTTCCTCGGTATTTATTCAAATGAATTAAAAACTATGTCCACACAAAAATCTGCACAATGGTGTTTACAGCAGCTTTATTCATAATTGCCAAAACTTGAAAGCAACAAAAACGTCCTCCAGTAGGTGAATGGTTAAATAAACTGTGGTACATTCACACAATAGAATATTATTTAGTGCTAAGAAGATATGAGCTATTAAGGCATGAAAAGACATAGAGGAAACTTAAATGCATACTACTAAGTAAAAGAAGTCAGTCTGAGAAATCTATATATGTTTCCAGCTATATGATAATCTAGAAAATGTTAAACTATGGAGACAACAAAAAGATAAGTGGTTGCCAAGGTTTAAGAGGGAGGGAAGAATGAGTAAGGAGAGCACAGATAATTTTTAGGGCCATGCAACAACTTTATGGTACTAAAATGATGGTTACATGTCACACATGTGTGCAAACTCAAAGAATGTACAGCACTAAGAATGAAGCCTAAGGTAAACTATAGGCTTTGATGATAATGATCTGTCAATGTAAGTTCATCTGTTATAACAAATGTATGGCTGGTAGCAATGCTGATAACAGGGGAGGCAATGCATGTGTGGGAGCAGGGGGTATAAGGGAAATCTCTGTACCTTCCACTCAATTTTGCTGTGAACCTAAAACTGCTTTAAAAAATAAAGTTTATTTTAAATTTTTAATCAGAGCTTTGAGTAGATTCAATAAATTTGATTTCAGGCTCCACAAAGGAAGAGGTATCTTAGTAAAAAACTAAAGCTTTCAGCTGAAAGCTCTGAAAAACTTCTTCATAGAAATAAAGGTAAACTAAAAATAGACCAAACCTCCAAAAGCCTACAGTCTACAGTTAAATTATTTCAGTTCCTGATTAGATCAAGGTGATCTGCCCTAAATATAACTGTCAGGCAGAGAAAAAAAAATAAACCCTTT